TCTCTAAATGACCAAACCACCTCAACAACCTCTCTTCTGCCCTCTGACTAATGCTTTTATTAACTCCACACCTTCTCCTAATTTCCACACTCCGAATTTTCTGCATAATATTTACACCACACATTGCCCTTAGACAGGACATCTCCACTGCCTCCAACCGTCTCCTCGCTGTTGCATTATTATTATTATGTATTATTATTATACTATTATGGTAGTGGGTTTATGTCAGTCATCGTTGATATTGCTTTAATATCACCCTTGCACCATATATAACATTTTTAGTATATTTTTAAATGTTCATACAGTAGTGTACTGTATGCATTGTAATGAACAGAATAGAGGAAATAGCTCTAAATGCATTATTTAGGTAAACTACTGGTCAGAGAGCCCATTGTAAATCCAAGTCATCAGAAAACTAGTACGTCGCTAAGTGAAGAGAGGCTGTACATTGGACCCTTGAATTTCGCGATTAATCTGTTCCAGAGAGTCTGCCGAAATTCAAAATTCATGATTTTCAAAACCATTTTTCCCATAAGAAATGATGTAAATCAAATTAATCTCTTCCAGACACCCAGAAGTATTAAAAAAAATTTTTTTTTTTACATTAAATGTACATGTACATTTATCTACACAGAAAACAATGAGACATGAAGAATAAAAGAATAATAACTTGAATCCTCTTCCATAAAGACTTTAGGTACCAAGTTCTTTTCCGGGGTTACTTCCCTTCTTTGTTTTTTAATGCAACTAGGACCAGCTTGAGAGTCACTGGACCCCTGTCGCTCAAAAATTGTTCCAGAAAGGTCTCTTTGTGGTGTTTCTTTAAAATTTGCCTAAAATAAGACAAGACATTGTCATTGAACATGTTGCATACATGGCTGCAACAGCTTTGTCATGGTGATGTTTCTCCACAATTTTTCATCCTAGTCTACATTGCAACACATCTCCTTAATCTCTGAAGACAGCAACTTTTTCTCTCTCTTCCTCTTCCTCTGAAGCAATTTCCTGAGCTGTGGTCTGTTACTGTTGCAGATTCAGGTCTAGCAGCTCTTCAGTGGTAGCTTTTCATTGTGGTCCTCCACCAACTTTCCACATCCTCGCCACAAACCTCCAACCCCATGGACTTCTCCAATGCCACAATAGATTTCACAACTGGCATAGGGTCCTCAGGGTCAACCTCAGATTCTTCAAAATCTTTGTTGAAGACACATTCTGGCCACAATTTTCTCTAATCAGAGTTCATCGTCCTGGAAGTCACTCCCTGTCAAGCCTTACCTGTAAGGTTTATGCATGAAGGACATTGAAGTGATCTTTCCAGAACACTCTTTGGGTCAATTCAGAGTTTGAGGTCATATTAAAGCACCTTTGAAACATTGCTTTGGTGTAGAGTTTTTTGAAGTTTGAAATGATCTGCTGGTCCATGGGCTGGAGGAGAGGAGTGGTATTAAGAAGGCAAGAACTTCATTGTGATGAAATTAAACTCCTTCACCATTTGCTCTTCCAAGTTTGGAGGATGAGCAGGAGCATTGTCCATTACCAGGAGGCACTTGAGTTCCAATTTATTCTCCAGGAGGCATTTCTTCACACTGGGGCCAAACACTTCATTGAACCAATCAAGGAAAATGTCCCTCTTGACCCATGCCTTACTGTTAGCCTTCCATATCACACACAAATTAGCCTTTGTGACACTGTTTTTTTTGAACACTGGGATTTTCAGAGTGATACACCTTTAAAGGTTTCACTCTGAAATCCCCACTAGCATTACCACAACATGAGAGTTAGCCTGTCTTTCATAGGGTTGTGTCCTGGCACTGCCTTTTCCTCTTGCATGATGTAGGTCCTCTTTGGCATTTTCTTCCAAAAGAGGCCTATTTTGTCACAATTGAACACTTGCTGGGGGATGAATCCTTCAGCCTCTACATAGTCCTTGAATTCACTTATGAATTTTTCAGTCGTATGTTTGTTTGAACTGGCAGCCTCACCATGCCTTACAACATTGTGTATGCCACTTTGCTTCTTGAAATTTTTGAACCAGCTTTTGCTGGCCTTGAATTCACCTACATCAGCACTTGTTCCAGGCCTTTTCTTTACGAGATTGTCATGCAACTGCCTTGCCTATTCGCAAATTATCGATTGCGTAACACTATCTCCTGCTAACCCTTTTTGTTTGATCCACACCAGCAACAACTTCTCAACATCTTCGATTATTTGCGATCTCTTTTTCGTTAGCATATTCACCCCTTTCGCAACATCACCGTCCTTGATTTCCTTTTTCTTTGCCATGATGGAAGTGATGGTTGAATGGTTCTTCCTGTACATCCTGGAGAGCCCCACCACATGCACTCCACTTTCATATTTTTCTGTGATCTCTTTCTTTACTTCAATCGTGTTTCTCACTTTCTTTACCAAAGGGCTGGCACTAGGAGCTTTCTTTGGGCCCATGGTGGCTTATTTAGCAGTTGCAAGCACTAAAACAAATGAAATGTATTAAGAAATGTGTTGTATGAATGTGTGAGGTGATCGTCATTCGCCAAGATACAATGCCAGACAGACACTGAATGGTGTTTGTGTGCTCGCGGCAGCTGGGAGGTCGCTTGGATGCTTTTCGCCGATATCTAAACCAAATCACAAAAATCAAGCCAATATTTTGACGAAAAAATTCGCCGATTTCCAAAATTCACGATATTTAAGGGGGACGAAATTCAAGGGTCTATGGTATATCATAATGTATATTATATTATATGATGGTGAAAGTGTTGAATGATGATGAATGTATTTTCTTTCTTTTTGAGTTTTTCTTTCTTTTTGGGTCGCCTTGCCTAGGTAGAAAATGGCTGATGTGTTAAAAAAATTTTTTTAATGTATATCATGATGTATAAGTAGAATGACTTGGAGAGAGTATAAATGTGTAGGGGAAGGAAGGCGGGGTAGGGGGTCATCTTCGAAAAGTGTGCATGAGCGTGTTAGATAGGAGTGAATGGAGACAAATGGTTTTTGGAACCTGATGAGCTGTTGGAGTGTGAGGAGGGTAATATTTTGTGAGGGGATTTAGGGAAACCGGTTAGACAGACTTGAGTCCTAGAAATGGGAAGTAGTACAATGCCTGCACTTTAAAGGAGGGGTTTGGGATGTTGGCAGTTTGGAGGGACATCTAAACTGTCGTATCTGAGCACCTCTGCAAAGAGTGATGGTAAAAATGTTGAATGATGATGAAAGGTTTTTCTTTCCTTTTGGATTTTTCTTTCTTTTTGGGTCACTCTGCCTTGGTGGAAAATGGCTGACATGTTAAAAAAAATAAAATCTTTCGTGTTTTCCAAGGAGTACAGGTCAGGGTATCTGTTTTTACCATTTGCCCACCTTGAAAGGGGCTGTTAATGTACAGCAATATTCCCGCCTGGAGGGAACAGATTGTTTAAAGAGGACCATCATTGGCTTAGCATCTCAGTTTGAAGGTTTTCATTATTCATTCCATCATTTCCTCATGGTTGTGATTGCAGCACTTGTGATTCTTGTATGTGGGATCCTCTGATATTGTTAGTTAATATCTAATTAATGCTGATCAGCAGTTACAGTCTTTTGCAAATATTCAAATTATTTTCCATAAATTTTTTTTTCTCTGTTATTTCGGATGCAGTGGGAAAGATTGTGTTGGTGAATGGGAGAGTGGGAGGGAGGGAATCTGAGAGAGGGAATAAGAGGAGGAGGAGGAATAAAGAGGAATTGAAGAGAGGGACTTGCCTCAATACTATACAGTGTTTTCAGTGCTATTGTTAAAAATAATGAAATTAGATGTGGATTATGGCTCAAGAGTGCATCTTTGATTATAACATAGGGTCTATGGGAAAATAAGATCCAAGTTCCAACCACTTAACAAAAGAGTGATTTTCATGAACACATTACTATAATGTTGAGTGTGGGGATCTACTGTATTTATTTTGAATTAAGTTAACTTAAAGGTATAATGTACAACTTTTCCCATCTTTTATTTTTACATGAGATCTCTATTTCTCCATGGGAAGTGGAACAGAATTCATCCTCCATAAGCCATGTGTGTCATAAGAGGGGACTAAAATGCTGGGGGCAAGGGGCTAGTAACCCCTTCTCTTATATAAATTATTAAATTTAAGAAGAGAAACTTTCGTTTTTCTTTCTGGGCCACCCTTCCTTAGTGGGATACAGCCGGCTTGTTGGAAGATCATCATCTTTGTTTATTGTTTATTCATGCTTTAAAATTATTTCTCTACTCTACTGTGTGTTTACTTAGTTTGTGGCTGCTGGGGTTGAGTCTTGGCTTTTGGGCCTGCCTCTTAATTATACTCTTGCTGGGTTCACTTCATGTTGGGCACATATTGCTTCTGGTAATAAGTTTGGTTCTATTCTCATTCATAGGTCCTCTTTGAGTGAGGGTTGCAGCATCTGTTCCTTGAATCTGTACTCAACTTCCAGTCTTCTTTAGGGTAGCCCATTGAACTAAACTACATTCACCATCACACATTTTGTAGCTGTATTTTAAGAAGTGCATGGGTATCGGTATCTAAATAATCATTATACATTGTTATGCTACAAATTTGTACAACTGTAATGCTTCTTATTTGAAATACTCATTTGTACTTCATGTTGTAATTTGTTTACTGTAATTTTTACCACTGAATATATCATTGCTTAGTTAATCTTAAGATTAACTAAGCAATGATATATTAACTTAAGTTAATTTTAAGCCTGCCTGTAATGCTCTGCATACAAGGGGCTTTTGGCATGTACTACACTCAATCACCATATTTCTTTGTACAACTATGTATCATGTCCAAATAAAAAGCAAATATAAATAAATAAATAAATGCATGCATTGCACTGCATATAGTAGTACTGTATTGTTATAATTAAAGTAAGATTATCAAATTTCTAAAAAAAACTTATGCATTTTTTCCCATTTTTTAAATCTTTGTAATTGGTAGTTTTCTATAAATGAAAATACAATAAAGAAATAAAATATTTTTCAGACCTGAGTTACTTCGTCCAGTGACTAAGCTGCCCTCAACAGTTAGCCAGGTGACGGGTGGCACGAGTGTGATCCGCGCCTCCCCTAGCCACACTGTGCCTATGGGTCAATCCCCAGGATCATCAAGTTTAAGCATAAACAACCCACAAGTAACCCTCTCTCCAGCAGGACCTACAAGTGTGCATCTTCACCAAGGTCCAGAATCAGTTATACATGATAGAAGAGAACATTTGACTCTTAATCCTCGTGTAACCACTATCAACAGCCAAGTGATAAATGTGTCCCAACAGGGTCATCCTTCCAGAGGTCTGGGTGGCTCTGTGGTTGCAGTTACCTCAGGTGCCACTCAACCAACTGTTGCAATTTTGGAAAAAGTTCTTACCTCATCTATACCTAGCACTGCCAAAGATGATACCCATTCACAGCCTGAAGATCTCTCCAGTAGATTTCGCCCCATAGATCAGTCGGGGTTTAATAATGAGCGATCTGATTTGACTGACGGGAAGTCGGATTTTGATTGTAAAAGAGTTTCAGGAAGTTGTGGAGAGCAAGAAGGCTTACTTTTGCGTGCCAATAATGCTAGTGTAAGAGACAGCAGATTACACATCTTGGAACAGTCCTCTCTTAATCTTGATATCACTAAGCAAGAAACTCCAGATAATAAAGAAAACATAACTAATCAAGTGAAGACAGAAGTGACACCACTGACCACAACCTTTGTGACTGGAGCTACTGCTGGTGCTGTTATAATCACCACACAACCAAGGTGTCATATCGCAGGATCTGAGTCTGATCAAGTTGTGGTTCATCAAACACCAAGGGAAGATATGGGTGAGGAAGTCAACTGGGATGAACATCAGCCTGACCAACCAACTTATCATTGGAGTCAACTGGTTCCTCTTATTACAACACCAAACAGAAGTGTTTCTAATCAGCATCAGCCAAAAAATGAGACAGACCTTAAGCCAACAACAAATGGTGATGTGTTAGCAAATGGTAGAGGACACATGGGTAGTACAAGTGATGGTGTTGGGGGTAACAAGTGTGAAGGGGGCCAGAATCGACGAGAATCTTGTGGTCAAGATGTGGATTTTGACTTGTCTGCAGATGATGATGATGTTTTTGTTACTGACCTTGAGACTGCTACCAGTACAAACAATAAGAGAAGAACTCAGTCTCTTGGATCCTTCTCAGGCAAGGAGGAACCCAAAAGCCCCAGAAAGGTGTGTGTAGGGGTGAATGATTCAATGTTTAATAATTTATTATTACTTTTTTATTATATTATTACTTTTATGACAAATTGCTGATATATCAACTTTATTTACCCTGGGAAACATTACCCTTGCTGGAGTTTATAGGTTGTCCTTCCAGAATTTTGTGCTCCTGTGAGTCATTTTATTCATAATTTCCTAGGTGTCACAGGCAGTGCAGAATTCTCCATAATTTAGTATTTTCAAAACATTTTGTTAATTGTTGGAGAGAAATGTTATCCTATGAATAACATCCGAGTTACTTTTAAGGGCTTAGAGCTTTTCAACTTTAGGCATTCAACCTTGTTGGATTCTATTTGCAGTGGATTTCATTTGGGGTTTAGCATTTTTTTGTGAATACTTTAATGGTTCTCGGTACACAACTACAAAACTTTAGAAGAAAAAGTGCAAAATGATATTCTCTCATTGGTTAAAACACCTGCAGATTTATGTTATTTACCATTTTCTCATGTTCTAGTATTTATTATTAATTTTTATTGGAAATGTCATCTTATGAGAAAGTAATCGAGGAGTTGAGTTTTGTTCCTAACGAACGTACTACAGTATATTTATGTATTTATGTGGTGTTACATATTACATGAATTAAGTAGAGCTGATTAGAAAAAGACCAACTTATAAGTGAATACAGTGAAAGTATTTGTTAAAAGGATAAATAGGAAGATTATGAATATTGTAGTGCATGAATTCTAAGGGAAGAGTGGGGATATTGCAATTTTGAAGGTCATCTGATATGTTATGAATGTGCACTTTTGGCAAGGCAGCTATTGAATGAGTGATGAATGTATAACTTTTTTTATAGTTCACCCTACCTTGTTGAGAAATGGCCAGTATGGTAAAAGAAAATAAATGATTTTGAAAGCAAATGTTTACATTTTTGTGCAGATATATTGAATTGTGAAGGGGCCAATAATAACCACAGTTTTTTATAAAGATGATTTATTGATTGCCAGATTATGTTTCCGATAAGGAAGGCGGGGTAGGGGTTGTCCTCAAAAAGGTTGGAGGGAGGGGGTAAAGGAGGTGTTGTGGGCGAGGGGTCTGGACTTTCAGCAGGCGTGGATGAGCGTGTTCGATAGGAGTGAATGGAGACGAATGGTATTTGGGACCTGACGATCTGCTGGAGTGTGAGCAGGGTAATATTTAGTGAAGGGATTCAGGGAAACCGGTTGTTTTTATATTGCCGGACTTGAGTCCTGGAAATAGGAAGTACAATGCCTGCACTCTAAAGGAGGGGTTTCAGGATATTAGCAGTTTGGAGGGATATGTTGTGTATATGCTTCTAAACTGTTGTGTTCTGAGCACCTCTGCAAAAACAGTGATTATGTGTGAGGCGAAAGTGTTTAATGATGATGAAAGTATTTTCTTTTTGGAGATTTTTTCTTTTTGGGTCACCCTGCCTCGGTGGGACACGGCCAACTTGTTGAAAAAAAAAAAAGTGTTTTTTATTTTCTCTTTTAAAATGTGGCAGATTAATGACAGAAGTAATTAGATATGTAGGAAATAATTTGACTAAGAAAGGATTATAGCAGATTTAGTTAAGGAGGCATGCTTAGAAACACAGTAGTATAGTGTATAATGAAGTTACAGACCAATTTTGTTAAAGGTTTCACTATATACAGGTTCTCCATCACAAATTTGGCATCATTGGGACCTGTAGTGTGCCGGATAACTGAATTTTCTGAATTACAGAGTGGTTAGGTTAGAATACACTTAATAAAATTAACCAACTTGACTTACACAGTTCATTGAACATCTGCAAAAATCGAACATTTCTGCTACTTTGAGCTCAATTTCAAGGTACTTTTCGTCATGAAAACAATCAAAATCATGTCTATTTCTGTAATATATCTTCCATTCTATCAAATGAGTCCAAAAAATGAGAATACAACCATAAAAATCATACGAAAATATACTGCAAAGAGGCGGCTAATGGCTGAGAAGTGAACTCCCTTATTTATCGTCCGTCTTTTTTATTTTTGTTGTACGTTAAGAAGCATCTTTCCATCATACATTGCCCAAGTTTCAATGAGATAGCCCAACAAACAACCGGGAAAAAAAATATTTACCAAAAATCATATATGGCAAGCCCAAGCCAGGTACTGGAAATAAGTCACTTTGTCTGACTTTTCTGGGTTATCCTAGGTTCTCTATACATACACTGCTATGTATGATAATCTATGTAACTGTATTTGTGTATACCTGAATAAACTTATTTACTTCTTGTCTGTCAACTGAGTACAAGAAACCGCCCATTCACTTACTTCAACTACTCAATAAAGTGGTCAGAAATCGGCAATTTGGCCGATTTCACACAAATTTTAACAGATGCCAATTTCAAAATAGGATCCAGAATAAACAATGCAGACATTCCTGGCACTAAAATAACATTTTCTCTGTTCATTAGTCACGGCTACAGGCCCCTCTTATATTACTCTTGCTTACCATTTGGAATTTTTATTCACAAAAAATAGAAGATTTACTGTTATGTAGACTACTGCATTATTGTAATAATTGTATAAATAATGTCAATCCATTCTTGACTTCGTATTGGAATTTAGACTGGCAGGCGGACAGGTATTGGACGGTGACGTCATTTGTTTACTCTTGAGCTTCGCTGAAGAATAGAACATTTTCGCTACTGTGAGTGCAATTTCAAGGTACTTTTCGTCATGAAAGCAATCAAAATCATGTCTATTTCTGTAATATATCTTTCATTCTATCAAATGAGACCGAAAAAATGAGAATATAACCATAACAACCATACAAAAATATACCGCTAAGCGGCAGCTAATGGCTGAGAAGTGAATTCCGCTATTTATGGTCTGATTTCTTTCATTTTTGGTGTACGTTAAGAAGTATCTTTCCATCATACATTGCCCAAGTTTGAATAAGATAACCCAACAAACAACTGAGAAAAGAATAATATAATAATAATAATAATAATATCTTTATTTATTACACGTACATGTACAAGGTATACAGGCCTAGCTGACATCAGTGACATACTGCTGTATAGAAAGGCACTTGTTATGCTGAGTATTTCAAGAAAATTAGGTCAGTGTCCCAGGATAACACCCACACTAGTCGACTAACACCCAGGTACCCATTTACTGTTGGGTAAACATAGACAACAGGTGTAAAGAAACACGCCTAATGTTTCTACCCTGGCTGGGAATTGAATATTTACCAAAAATCATATATGGCTAACTCAAGCCAGGTACTAAAAATAAGCCATGTTGACTTTTTTGGGGTTATCCTAGGTTCTCTACACATATGCTGCTATGTGTGATAATGTATATAGAGAAAATAACTTTTTTGTTTCATGTTTATGGTGGAGTACGAGTGTATATCATAGCCCTGTGCTATACACCGTTTTCTCTAATATAAGCCCCCAAGACAAGGATAGGAGAAAGATATTTGTTTACCATATCCTCTTCATAACTCTGTCGAACTGCTCGGTGTTATGCCAAATATTATTCATTCTGGAGTATTTAACATGTTTTATATTATTTATATTGTTTCTTCTGTCATATTAGATCAATTGTGATAAGCAAATAAGCTGTAGTGTTGATATTAGCGTAATAAAGCATATTCTCCTGCTTCATGAGACTGAGCTCATGGCAGCCGACAGTGGCTTCAAAGCCACCTTATCTTTAATGGATAATGTGCTGTGTAGGTGCTTTACATAATGAGAAGCATTTCTTTTATTCATTGGAACCATGGCTAGGGCTAAAATTAAGCAGGTTAAAACAATAAATGGAGAAAAAGAAATTGGAATGGCTTATGCAGCAAGTAACGCCACCAAACAGTACCAGCAGGTTGGTGTGGCGACCCTGGAAATTTGAAATTATGCTAGCCAAAATTAGTGCCGAATAACTGAAGGAACCGAATAACTGATTGCCGGTTTTGTGATGGCGGACCTGTACTAAGGGTGTCAAATATACAGCCCAGGGAGACCAAATGTGGCCTTCTTGCCACCCTCATCTGGTATACATTTTTAATAGTGCTTTCACTTGAATATATTACTGATATCTATCAAATAAATAAGAGTATGTAATCAAATGTCTGCTATCTTAAGTTAACTCGGAGACAGTTTGGGGATCATTAAGTAAGAGAGAGAGGCGAAGGTGTATAAACTAAGGGAGGAGGAAGTTAGGGTGAGATATAAGCAGCTATTGGCAGAAAGGTGGGCTAATGCAAGTATGAGTAATGGGGGGGGGGGTTGAAGAAGGTTGGGATAGTTTAAAAAATGCGGTATTAGAATGTGGGGCAGAAGTTTGTGGCTATAGGAGGGTGGGTGCAGGAGGAAAGAGGAGTGATTGGTGGAATGATGAAGTAAAGGGTGTGATAAAATAGAAAAAGGTAGCTTATGAGAGGATTTTACAAAGCAGAAGTGTTGTAAGAAGAGCAGAGTATATGGAGAGTAAAAGAAAGGTAAAGAGAGTGGTGAGAGAGTGCAAAAGGAGAGCAGATGGTAGAATGGGAGAGACACTATCAAGAAATTTTGCCAAAAATAAGAAAAATTTTTGAGTAAGTTAAACAAGTTAAGAAAGCCTAGGGAACGAATGAATTTGTCAGTTAAAAATAAATTAGAGGAGTTAGTAGTTGGGGAGCTGGAGGTATTGGGTAGAACGCGGGAATATTTTGAGGAACTTTTAAATGTTGATGATGAAGGGAAGGTGGTAATTTCATGCACTGGTCAGGGAGGAACATCTTCTAGGAGTGAAGAAGAGCAGGATGTGAGTGTGAGGGAGGTGAGTGAGGCATTACATAAAATGAAAGGGGGTAAAGCAGCAGAAACTTAGGGGATCATGACAGAAATGTTAAAAGCAGAAGGGGGGGATGTTGTGTTGGAGTGGTTGGTATTTTTGTTGAATAAATGTATGAAAGAGGGGAAGGTACCTAGGGATTGGCATATACGTATAAAGATACACAACATATCCCTCCAAACT